TCAGTTTGTATCAAATTTTGTTAGCTTTGCAGGAATAGAACTTTTTCAAAGTGATATTGAGAAGCTATCTGGGGATATAGAATTGGCAGGCAGTGTTTTTAGAGAACAAGTTAAAGAGAAATTACATTTCGAAGGTGGAGAAAAAGGATTTCCTTTTTCTTTTCCACCGCGTCCTTCTCCCTCCTTCTCCCCTACACCTCAACTGTGCACTGTGGGTTCCCCCCCCAATTTTTTTATTGTATTAAAATACACATAACAAAATTTACTGTCTTAACCATTTTTAAGTGGTTCAGTGGCTTAAATACAAACATAATGTTTGTGCACTGTAATTTTTCTTAGAGAACTTAGAAACATTGACCTACCCTGCTCTGTCAGTACTCTCTGCTTTGCTGTGTGGATCATAGCAAAGTGTTCCTGTATTTTCTGTTCTGTGTGCTTCAGAGAAAGCAGCAAGGCATGGAACTTTCCCACTCGTCAATTAAACTTGTCACCACCTAGCATATAAGTACATTTTTAGTTCTGTCTGATTAGTATCTTCTAGTCCTTTGCCATTTTCCCCCTTAATTCATAAGTTTTTAGTTTTAAACTTCATGGTAGAAAGAGTTGCATAAACAACAGAGACAGCATATCTGTTGTACCCACTGTGATACTCCTTGTCGTTCATGATTAGAGCAGCAGCAGTCACAATCATTGCTCCCTTTGAGAGCAAGAAAAGTTCTTGTGAGTTTTCACAGGTGAAATAGAGGAAAAAGATTACAATACCAAAGAGACATATACGTAGAAAAGTTTTACAAAGAGTTCTTTACAAAATTTTAAGTAATATAAATCTGAATTCAGTTAATACGTTACTGAATATTTTCTCTTCCTGCTGTTTTTCGTAGGCAAGAGTGCACATTGGGAGATTCAGCTAGTAGGAGTCCTGACTCTGATCCAGAGGACTTCTCAGATGAAACAAACACAGAGAATCTTTATGGCGCCTCTCCCCCCAGCACACCTCGACAGATGAAACGCATGTCAGCCAAACACCAGAGGAATAATGTAGGGAGGCCTGCCAGTCGAACTAATTTGAAAGGTGAGTCTTGTACTTAAAAAGGTGTACGTGAGAGGACATGGCACTTTTGGTCCGTAATTTTTATATGACATGTGACTATTGATTGATCCTTTCTACAGTAAGGTTAATAATTCCTTTTATTTTAAATTTGACTTTAATGTTGCCTTTAAATTCTATTTTTTAATTTTCAAAGTATTACCATTAGCAATATTTTCAATAAAGGAGACAAATAATTCTCCAGAGGTAGAAAAGCTTGTCCTGAGCAGTGGTTAAAGTCAGCATCGTGAGGCATTTGCAGATGTGAAAGAGGCCAAGTGTTTCCCCGTGTGCTAATCTAAGATGGCTACTGGTTACACGGGAGAGATGGCCTTCTTTTGTTTTTTTAATGTCTTACGCTGAGGTTTCTAGATTCTGTCTGTCTAGAAATGGTATATTGAGGATTTCGGGAAGGACAGAGCCAGGCTTTCTTCCCCTGGATTCCCTAGCCCACCTGAGACCTCTGCTCTCCTCCAGTGACCCGTGGTGCTGCCTTAGCGCGTAGGGCTCTCTTTCTTGGTAAGTACAGTCACCAGATGGCACCCCCCACCTTATACCATGGACAGAATCTGTTCTCTACTTTTTTGTTTAGGATCCCAAAGCCCAGGTAGTGCTCTGCTCCTAGAAGCTGAGGGTATTCACTCATTTTATTTCTCACCTCATTTTAGTAAGTCATATCTGTTCTTTTTTCGGGTAGATGAATTGAATGAAGCTGAGCTGCTGCCTCCTTTCGCCCTACACAATGGCCTGGAACCTTATGGTTTTAGACTTTCCCTATTAATTTTAGCAGACTACTCGTCCTGAAACAGATCACATAGCTTCCTGGAATCTGTTCAGCTATTACTGCACAAGGCGCAGATTTTGTTCTTCATCTCGTCTGAGAAATTTCTCCCTGTTGATTTCACACTCATTCCCATCTCTTCGTTTCTTTAGCCCATGTTAGTTCTTCCTCTTTAGTTAGCTTCCTCTCCCTAGAGATTTCTTCAATATACTGACCTCTTAGGGTTGTAAGATGGCATGTCCACTCCAAATTCCCATCAGAGCACTTCCTCAGAAAAGAAGGAGGGCAAGAGAAGTGGGTTTTATTGTATATTTGCTTGAGTGAAAATCTTAGCCAAGGAGGAGTTTCCAAGCAGTAAAGAGTCTTTCTTTCCCACAAGTGGTTTTCCCACAGAAGATGGTTTTTTTTTTT